CACACACACACACACACTCATGCACACATATTATTAGACATGTGCAAAGACTAAAAAAAAATTTCTAACAAAATGAATGGAAACTAGAAATGGTTTCATTAGTTTCGTCAAACGAAACAAATTTATATGCTATTTTGGATTTGGCCACCAGCGCATTCTGCTCATGCGCGCCGCCATCCTGGAGGTGGGCGCATGATGCCGCACGTGCACGGCGTCAAGTGACATCACACGTCTGTTGGGGGGCACAATTTTCTATTCTTGCCTCGGGTGCAAAAGGAGCTAGCTATGGCTCTGAGCCAGTGCATGAGTACAAAGGCTATGAGGGCCCATTATACTCATTGGCACAATGACATTTTGCTGATCATTTTCACAGATTAAATAGAAAACATTTTAAAGCGTATAGACCCTGTTTAAACCACTCTACTTTTCCATAAGTTGTCAAGATCTAACTAGAGTAACTGTATTCTATTTATTCAAATATGTATTGAGTTTGTCTGCTTTTTTTTTCAATAATCTGGCATTATATGCAGCACATACTATTCAAAGAGAAAAAAATGTTTGATTGGTTCTCTTATGTGAATTCTGTCTACTGACAGACGGTACCTTGTTTACAATGCATTTCCTGGTATCTATGTTTGAAACATGTCTGTATTTCTGCAGTTCTCCAATCAGCAGGGAGCACGACCTTTGCTGATTGAAGAACTATAGGTATGACTCAGTAGGGAGCATGTCAGACCTCTGTAGAGAGACCACTGCTTCCACGCTGACAGCAAGGGTCTTTCACTACAGCATGCTGGCAGGGCACAGATTTTTCTACTCAGGCTGTGGCTGTTTTTAAAGAAAACCAGTTGTAAAATGTTTACAACTGCACGTATTCAGCTTAGTTTGCGGCTATTTCTAGAGCCGCGAACGTGCAGAATCCGACCCCTGAAATTGCACTTGGACTATTTTGCAGGATGCGCAGTTTTGTACCGTGCGGCCCCTGCAATAGTCTGAACAATGCACATTAAAATGCATTGTTTTTTATGTTTAGAGCGGTTCATACGGCTGAATATGTGCAGAAAAACGCTCATATGTGAATGGAGCATTAGTTGATTTCATAGAAAAGTTCAGTTTGGCTTCAATAAAAGGCCAGCATTTTTTAACTATACGTAAAACGATATCTGCTATGTTTCACTTTACTAACATTGGTTAACTACAATGTGGCTGTAAACACATTTGTAATCTTTCACTCTCACAGCTAAAGATGTAACTGTAGCCATAGCAGAACATTTAAGTGCAGGGAAGTACAGTAAGACAATTTCTGTGTGGCTCCATAATGGTTTATCTAAGCAACAATCATATATGGTAAATCATTTTTAATAAAATGAATGTATATTCTAGCATAGTATAATTCTGGCACTGATGTATGCAGTGTTAATTTATCATGGCTGAAGTGCTTGAGGGTCCTGTAATGATTTTAGCAATTTATTGTTGCTTGTGTTCTCTCTGGGGAGATTAACCATCTCTTTTTGTCCTGGAGACCATTATCACCAAGGCAAAAAGTGATGGAAAATCCAACATTTTTGAGCTGTCACCAGAGCAACAAGTGAAGGAAATATTCCAACTGGGACACATGTTCCTACGACACCTCTCTAAAATGGGAATTCCATTCACTTTCGAGAGATTCTCTTTCATTTCCTGTTGCATTTCCAAGACAGGAATTAAAGGGAAATCTTCCCCAGCAGGGCAAAGACAGCAAAAAAATGAAATGATAGAGGTTTTATCTCTTTCCTACTCTATCCAAAAAAGTTTTGGCTTTACACACACTTTAAGAATCCCTATAAAAATGCAAAATAGTGATAAGGTATATTTAATAAAACATATACACAAACCAGAGCCACTAGACTAGCGTGTGGCTACTAGAATTTAGTAATTGCAGCTATTTTCTGAAGTTAGTGAATCACCTCTTGTTTCCTCTTTCCTGGACTTTTTCGTGAAACTATATTACAATATAAACTGTTAATAGCCTTGATATGAAAATGTAAACTTTCTATGAGAAACCTTTTACAGCTCTGTATTGGAAGCTGTGGCCACCTATAATTTAAGGGGGACTAGCTTTTTTGAGAGTTTGACCACACATAACGTAAAGGCAGGCCTGCCATCCTCAGCTCCTCAAAGGAAACTGTGGCCACCTGTAATTTAAGGTGGACCCACCTTATGCAGTGTCTGATTGGCGAGTGTGGCCACCCATAATTTAAAGGTGGATCCACCTTCCGTAAACTGTTATTGGAGAATAGGGTTATGTATAATTTGAAGACGGGCCTTCCTTTCACAGCTGCTTATTGGACATTGCAGCCACCCATAAATTTAAATATGTGTATGGTTAATTAGGGTAAGGTTATACATTGAAGAGGGCAAGGTTATGTATTAAAAAGGCTGATAGCAACAAAATATGAGCCAATTAGATAAAATAACACAAAACACACTCCATATTATTGATGTGTGGAGCAAATTGCAGTGCCATGTGCAGTAATCTTAGATGTTGCATGTGGGTAACATTAATATCTTTTTCCAGAAGGGCCTTCCTCAAGAAGAGGTTAGATGTTACCCTAAAATGTCTATTCTTATGACCTTGATTTGGCTTAGCCATTGCTGCACTATTTTGGGTATCTTGCTTTTCATTTTTCTTTATGATTAATAGCCCTGGGCAGAAATTGTTCATGTTATAACATTTTCTATGCTACTTTTATCCATTATTCGGTGATACTGCTTATAAACCTGTTGCTTTTTCCCGAAAGCTGCTCATAACGGATCCTATATACTGCAGTTGAAGATGACCAGTAATCAGTAAACGCTAGCAAGCACCAGAATGTTCCCACTCTACTGCCGACCTTTAAGGGCCTTTACCTGGCACTCCCGTATACTATAGATATAGGGGAGTGTCCCAGCCTCCTAGGCCCTGCCATCCCCACCCCGGGTTTTAATAGGTTATATTATGCCTTTTAAAACCTTGTAGCCGTTCCTGCATTATATGTATGGACATCTCCTGTACTTTATGTAGAGCATGCTTCTATCCTTATCATAGATAGTTACCCATTGAGACACATGTGCAAGACCTAAATGTCTGCTATGTATAATTTTTTGAAAGTGTATGTAAACCCACAATCTATTTTTCATTATGTTTGGCCTCATGCCTCACTGAATTATGTTTTGTTAAAGGAGAACTATGAGGTGAGTGCTTTTCACTCACCTCATAGTTCTAGCCGACCTGTGACAATGAGACTGTCACAGGTCGGCTCAGTAGATCGGGAGGTGAGCGAACACATACCG